CAAGCCCTGTTCCACCCCAAGACCAATGGTAGCCTTCACTGATTGCATTTACTTTAGCAGATTCAACAACTTTGTGTGAGCTGAGGGGAATCATAGCCAAAAAGTACGTCTGAGGAAAATTTTTCCATGGCACCTTTATAGAAGTGCTCCAACCAAAGCTGCCCAGTGATGGATTGCCATGCACTTTTGAAAGTGAGAGAATAAAAGTGGAGAGTTTTCTACAGCACATATTTTGCACATGCAGTTATGTTTAAAGCACTATGAAATATAAAGCTCCAGAATTTTCACCTCTGGATGGTACTTCATAACTGTAGACAAAATCAGCCAATGACTGAAAGAGGTCATATAAAAGATGAGTATATCATAAGTTTCCTAAAAATCTGGATTACTGAAGAAGGAAAGCATACTCCTTCGACAAAGGGGCAAATACATTGTTTCCCTTTTCCTGCTCCAAAAACACAACAAAACAAAACAAAACAAAACAAAACAAAACAAAACAAAAAAAAAAAAAAAAATAAAAAAAGAAAACAATTCTGAAAGAAATCAGTTCTCTCTGAATAACAATTACCTGGTAATGGAACAGCACTCAGAAATGAGTCATTTTCTGATTACTCATTTGCTAAACTCTCTACACTGTGCTGTCTGTGAACAGTTCATAAAATGCTGATCCTCTGGCATGTGTTTATCTTAGGGCTGGACCAGAGAGCTATGCAAACAGTTTATAAAAGAGATTATCTACAGTTACTTGGGGGAATATTTGCCCTCTCTGTTTTATGTTTTATGCAGAGAAGCAATAAGGGCAAGCATATGCTTAGCAAAAAAAAAAAAAAAAAAAAAAAAAACAACAAACTCAGATTACCCAGATGGTAAATTATATCAAGTACACAGAATGGTTTCTGGGTTTCTGTGGATCAATTTTCCCAAGAATCCTGAAACAAACAAGCCACTTCAAAACACTGCAAAACTACCATGCAGAGCAAAGCAGAGGAATATGGGGGCAAATTGTAACTGCTCCAAAATATTTTGGAGATAACAAATATAACTGAAGGGCCTTCAGTGAATTCCTGGGCAGACATGTCCATGCAGATTGGGTTAGAGCAGCCTAAAAATTTCTTATCCTTCAGCAGAGAGGTTTTTTCTTCTCTGCTGAAGGATATCCTTGTCTGAGAGTAACTGCCCATGTGGGTTCTACTACTACATGCAGAATAAAATAAATCATTACTGAAAGCAGGAAGAATGCTTGCCTACATCCTTAATCACAGGAGACCATTCAGTGATTCAGTAAAATTCCATAAACATCTGAGAGTTTGGATTTTTCATTTCCTGCCTCTTGACTATAAGAGAGTTGGAGAAGGTACTGTATCCAACTCTTCTTTTCTCACTTTTCTATTAGTGCTGAAATGTTCTCTACACTCAAACTCACTCCTCTTAGGCTACATATCAATTCCATGAACTAGTAACCATACCAGTCTGAAAGGCAATCTCAGGCCTAGCTCCTGATATGATGAGCAACTGTGGCACCACTGACTGAATAGGTTTGGTGAGAATTCATATGGTGAAGACATCAAGTAAGCCCCATAGGGATTCCTGATACAGAAAAATACTTAAGTGCTCACTCTTTCTGGGTTGTTGGCAATGAAAAACACACACCACACTATTTTGTTTCTCAGACACCATGGCTCATGGAAAAACTAACTAAAATACTAAACACTTTTTATGCTTCCTTTCACAGCTTTTTTGTCATTACTGTTGATAAGTTTATTTCTCCAGAAGTTAAGACCTGTCCTATTTCCAGCCTCAGTCAGACAAGTTATTTCAGCTACTCATTAGTCAAGTATTCACTTCACTGACCTATGTAACTTTTCATCCCGGTCCAACCATATTTATTTTAGCTTCCCAGCCAGCATGACACCTCTTTTCATATAAATTTCTATATTAAGCTTTGAAATTGGAATGTTACCTTTCAGTTCTAAAATTGCAACTCTTTATTCATAATTGTCTGGTTTCTTTAAAGGTTTTGTTATTTTATTCTTCACTGTGGTAAGATAGGGACATACAGTGAAATGCTGTCTTTCATGCTGCAACAAATATTCTGAAAACCTTTCATACTGTTAGTCAGAGAGTTTTTTAAAATATCTATGACTATGTTCAAAGAGTCCTGGCCTAATTCAAGTAATTTTATTGCCCCATGAAACCGCAGATATGCTGATTACTGAAATACCTGGTAGAAATTCCATGAGGAAATATCATGAATTAGATCTTTGCTGTCATGCAAAAAGAAATTTGTATTCTGTTGCTTCCCTTTGATCACTCAGCAAGGATTGACATCTCTACAGTGCTTTTTCTAACATCTTATTTAACCAAGAAAATTTAAGAGACAGCTTTAATATGAAGAGTAATGTTTTCTGAAGAACACCCTGATAGGATTTTCAAATCCTGCTGAATCTTCAAAGAATTTACACTTGAGTCATAAAGCTATACATGTAAAAATAGTAAGTAATTTTAATTTGGTTTCCTCCCAGCTGAAGACCTGGATAAGAAGTCATTCATTTGAGTGATAGGATGCTCCTTTATTAATAGTTATCCCAAGAAAAAGTCTGTCACTGAATTTTTAATGTAATGTTTTAATTCAGTTACTTAGAGCAAAATATCTTACCGAAATGCTTCTGTGACCCTTTAAGTCCAACACCCATTTTAAACTTCATCTGGTTGCATATAAGCCTATTCCTACGATAGAGGCAAATATTCTTTTAAATTATTTGGCTCTTTAAGCAATGTTGAGAATGTTTTTCTTCTTGTTAACAAATTAGCAATTCAGAAAGTTCAAATAAGAATCAGAGCCCTTGAAGGAGATAGAGGGCAGGGAACACTGGAAGGACAAGACAATCTGTACCTGAGACTGAATTCTATTTTTCTGATTATTTTGGATTTTGGATTCTACTGTATTTCATTCATCACTCTCTCTAGGATGTGTTTTAACTGCAGTTCTGGGCAGTGCCCTAAAAGATTTTTCTTTTGCTCAAGTTTTATGATAGGATAAAATGCTAAGCTTACTTTATGAATTGAAACACACTTGGTGTCTCCACGATTCCATGTTAATAAAGGAGCTCTCCTAAGTTTACTGCAAGCATACTCAATGAAAATGTTTCTACTAAATGTAAACAGCTAACTTGGTCAAACCTTTACTGAAATTTGAGGTATGTCCCTAAGGAAGTGAACCATTCAGTCTGTTTAACAGTGAGACAGAGGCTTCTCAAGATTTGTAAAGGAAGACTGAGGCATTGCTCTACACATTGACAGCACAGAGGAGAAAGCAGGGCTCTCAGCTTCCTGTGTCTGCTTGGGACCCAGTTTGTTTTTGTTCCGAGGGTGAAATTTGATTCCTGGATGGACAGTGGCTCATGTTCAGTGGAAAGAATGAAGGAGACTCTTGCCCAATATATTCTGCAGTATTGTGAACCTGCTGGGATGTGGAGGTGAATGCAAACTCTCCTACACAGCACAAAATCTACATTTTCACCCTTCCTCTTCCTTCAAAAAAAATTTAGACCTAGGAAATAGCACTACCACCACCATCAGGCAAGGTCATTATGTCCTGATCATCTCTGGCTTTTCTGGAGGTTATGGGCAGAATATTCATACCTGATTTAATTTACCTGGATCTCAACAGTGTTCTGGACAGGAGACAGGCTCTTTTCTCCTACAAAAGGAGCTCTTTAGACCTTGCATTTCTAGTGAAAACAAGGCAGTTAGGAAACTTTCAGCATGAACTGCAAGGTGCCTGATTCTCTGACAGCTGCATCCATCAGAGTAAGCAGGTCTCAGGCAGTGGGACAGGCAGTCAGTATCTAGATCTCCCACTTACTCCTTGTATAGTCAGTGGACAGAGAAATGCTCATTTGAGGGAAAAATGTTATATCAGATGGACTATCTGCCTACTGGAAGTATTTGCCTTTCTTCATCAATCACAGAAGAATCCTAGGGAGCCCATGATGCAAACAGCAGTGTTCAAGTACCTACATTTTAGCAGGAAGAATTCAGCACACTGGTGAATCATTGAAAGTGATTTTTAAAATTATTTTATTTTACATTTTCCTATTTAAAATACTTTTAATCCATAACCTATGTAATAAACAAAAAGTCAAACTGGTGGAGAAACTGAGAATCAAGTATATTCTTACTCTAACTTGACTATCATAAAGAGACCAGCCTTAATTCCACATAATTCATCCATAAGATGTTTTCAAGAGTGGTGCCTACACAGCTGCAGTGCCAGATTTCAGCAGTGCATCCCTGGCCAGCACAGAGCAGAGTCACACTTCCTTTCAAGGCCTACGAGGAAGCTTTCCCTATCGTCTGACAATCTACAGATCACATTGAGAATGCTCACAGAGAATTAGTCTGGTAAATTATCTGCTCAATGTCAGAGAAAGAACAGCTTTTCCTCCTTATAAGAAAGCCTTTGGGTCTGACTTATGCTTTTGCCAGCATTCTGTTTATGGTTAGCTTCAGGTTCTTTGTTAGAAGCAGGATTTGACTCCATATGCCTAAGACTATGTGTTTCTCTGACACTAAAATGATCCCTGAACATCTTTCAAACTCAGTACTGTAGAAATGTTGCAAATTTTCAAATGGATGCCTTAACCCCATTAATTAATCCTGTTACATTAAGAAGAATATGCCACTAAAACAGCTTGGAAGATAATAGTTATAAGAAAATATTTAATGGAGGCTGGTGTGGAAGTACAGTCAGTTGTGGTTGGTGCTTCTGGCAAAAGCTTTTTCAAGAGACACAGAGTTACCTCCACAACTAGTGATTTAACCCACTTTTCTTCTCTAAGGACAGAAGATTTGGAAAGTCCATGAGAAGTAGGAGAGTGTCCACATCTATTTTTCATTTAGATATTTATTTCTACAGAAAACTGTAGGAAGGCACTTTAAGACACCATAAACATCAGTCTGATAATGAATAAATAATAACAGAAACAATAAATAATTACCTTCAAGTGTTTCTCCCTCGCCCGAAAGGGCATCTCCTGCTCCAGAGGCATACAAGGCAGACACAGTCAGCGCATACCTAGTGGCTTGGTCCAAGCCTTTCAGCACTTTAGAGGTAGTGTCACCTTTCACAGTCACTTCCTTAGTTTCACCTCCTGCGACTGGAGTGTACGTTATAAAGTACTGCTGCACTTTGCCAGGAGCAGCAGCCCAAGACAGCTTCATTGTTGATGTTGTAGCATCAGAAACTCTCAAATTTCTTGGATTTCCTCGGACTGCACATGTTAAAAGATGTTGAAAACAAGTTGAAGCAAGCTTAATTTCTTGGTTTATCTCTTAGACTAACACTACAAAGGATTTTATGCTAAAATACAATTCTCTAATAGGCTGGACCAACACTGCTACAGTGTACCTTTACTGTAATCAGGACTGTACGTTCCCATCCCCACCCTCCTTAGGCAAAAATGTACAATAAAGTGCACTTAATTTTTTTTTCCCGGTTAAAGTAGGCTCAATCCTGGAGCACTTATACACACTAGCTCCTCTAGATACGCTCAGATTCAACAAAGATCAATGTTGAAGTCACCGTCTTCAGAATCAAGTCGAAGATGACAAATTAAATGTGAAATTAACATGTTTTGGTTTCCTAAAGAGGTCTTTTTGATTATGACTTTGATGGATCAGTGAAACTTCAACAATGATCAGGACAGTCATACCTTCGGTAGTCTCTGGATTTTGTTTAATAAGGCATGATACATGTTAAAGGATCATGCATTTTCACAGACATTAAATCTACAGTGATAACTTGAGAAAATTAAATGTTCCATTAATTTCTTGCTAAACATTCAGCACAAAGTGCAAACAGAGTCTGAATTTGCTCAAAAGGTATATAATTTATATCATTGACTATATGAAGAATCATGGAGACAATTAAACATACAAGTAGATTCTTCACCCAAGTTACCTTGCCATATCAGGTTCAAGACACTGTATTTTAAAATGAAATATTGCAATTTTGATAAATTCTATTGTCTTACATTATCTCTCAGCTAGGCTTGAGCAATATTATAACTCTCTGTTCATTTAGGATAATACATATGGACTATGTGGTTTATTCTCCTTTCAGTATGAATATGTCAACATGCAGTGAGTTTCTCACGCTTACTATGTTCACAGCATTGATCATGTACCTTCATCAGTTTTTGCATATCCATTCAATGAATTCCCAGGCCCAGACTGATACTCAGGGACAACAGACACTTCATATCTTGTATCTTGGATCAAATTCTGCAGAGTAGTTGACCTATCATTTGCTGAGACAGTCACTTGTCTCGTTTCTCCTCCAGTAAGTGGTCTATAAACAAGCCTGTACCGTAGGACATTTCCTGGAGCTGGAGTCCAGCCAACTACAAAGCTATCGGTAGTTTCATCTGTAATCCTTAAGTTTCGAGGAGCACCTTTAACTATAAAAAATATACACATGTAAGTTGTAAATATTTGCTTTTAATGAAGAAGTATCTGAAGCAAAACCACGTCAACCATTCTGTTAGTTCATCCACCTTACCAAAACTGCTTATATTGCCCTACCATTGCTTTAGGGTGCTTTAGTAATTTCTGAAAATTTAGGATCATAGTTACATTCAGCAGTGGAATGAAGTTGTCTCCAAAAATGCATTCATCCCAGTTTATAGAACTGCTTCTGAAATTTAAGATAGTCTGACTGTGTTTAGTGGTAACAGTAGAACTGTACAGTGTAAGGGGACATTTGGGCATAGTGAGGAAACTTCTTAACACAACAAATGATACAAGTTTCCTTGCTGCGGTCCTTTGCTTCTGCACCTCTTCCATTTACAGGTGGAAAATGGCATTTGTCAGATACACCTGACTACACACTCGGCTGTCCTATTTGCAAGAACAAACAAGGAACAAAGAGCAAAAAAACCCCACCAAACCAATTCTATTTCTTTGAATATTTCAAACAAAAAATATATTCATTGAAATATCAGTTGCATCTAATGTTTAAAAAAGGTTTCTTAAATTTAGTCTCTAACTCAAAGAAATGGCTTGTTATCCTAGAAACTAAAGAAAAAAAACTGAGGTGAATCCTCTAACCTAGCCTGCTCCTTGACAAAAGATACAGCAGTTCAGATGAGCTCAGTGGGCACAGGAAAAAAAGACTTGAAACTTCCAACAGAAATAAAGATCTACTGTACTGCATGCTGCCTAGCAGTACATAGCATTGTCACTTAGGGGGGAAAAGTTCTGGTTTTTTGTTGTTTGCTATCTATATTCCATAAGTATTGTTCTTCAAAGTTAAGAGCGGAATAATTAATAATCCCAAATTTAAAAAAAAAAATTGTTTTCTATTAACCAGAAACACAATATTCAACCTCAAATCCTTTAAAAGCCTGAAACCAAAGTTAATTGCCAAGAGAGCCATCTGGCTCAAATTGTTAGCTCTGATAGATCTGCATAGATCTGATGTTTACGTGGCTGTAGAAGAACTCTGTCTTCTGAGACGTGCTGGGATATCATCAGATCACAATGTCAATCATTATTTAAGGCAGTATCAGTTACAAATGGGAAGACAGATTATTTTTATTAAATCTTTTCCTTCTCCTGTCCTTTATGCACACAAGCTACATGTTCTATCAGCCAAGAGTTTGTTTTCCTAAGGGAAAATTATGTGTGGCCAAAATATTCTGGTACAGTCATGGAAATGTGCACACTGACAGTGTAACCTGTATCTTCCAAACTTAACATCCAAACTAAGCAATTTTAAAAGTGTTTATTTCTATCAGTCTTAAGAGGAAAGAGCAATTAACAAATCTTCAAGCTGTTTCTCTTGCTCCCTTGGAACCATTTATGTCACCAAAGGTCACAAATGACAGCATGGAATAATGAAAAAGACTAGATCAATATTTTTAAAAGCATGATTTAAAGTAGACTGAGTGTTCAACTACTGGAATAGAATATCAAATCTACTGTCATGCTGCTCTTTTCAATCAGGAGAAATGCATCATGGCAACTCTATCAAGAAAAAGTAAAGCTACCATGCTTAAATTTACAGCCACTGATCACATAAAACACATACTGACATCAATGGAAGTTTTGAATCAGTTATTGGATCAGACCAATGAATTTCTGATAAAAAAAACAGTTAACCAAAACTCAAGGCCTTTTAAGCCTATTGTATATAGAACAAGATTTCTATTAGTGTTATATTAGATGTAGACATAGCAAATCGCATAGGCACATATTTGTCTTTAAATGTATTGAAGTCAGCATGCATTCCTGCATCAGTCTCATAATTACTAAATAGAGTAGAATAGAACTGAATAGTTCCATTGGAAAGGATCTACCATGTTCATCTAGTCCAACTTGAGTCTATATTGACAATAATTCATGCCATGGAATTTAATGTTGAGGGCACGCTATTTCATTTGAAAGCAGGCTACTGCAAAGGAACACAGCAGAGGAACACATCCAACCTCAGAAAAATTAAAGTCCAATCTTAGCAACTTTGCTTGCATATTATTGGAATTTTAAATCTTTACTGAATGCATTGAGATACAATAGTTTATTCTCATCCTGCACGGCAGTACAGCTTCTCAGCCTTAGTTCACTGTTCCTCATTTCCCCATTCTCCAGCTAAGCAAATTCTTATTTGAACATATGACTCCCTTGTGTCTGAGAATAATGGGAATCCTACCTTCTAAGGTGGTTTCCTCTCCATCCAAGGGAGGGCCATCACCATCTTCATATTCAGAAATCACACTGACTGCATAAGTAGTTTCAGGTAGTAAATTGGTGAGAACTGAGCTAGTACTTGAAGCTGGTACAGAAACAATGAATTCATCTCCACCGACTGCTACTTTGTATTTAATGAGATAGGACAAAACCTCAGATCCAGCTGGAGACCAGCTCACTTTGAAACTCTCTGATGTTATGTCAGAAAAGACCATGTTCTTTGCAGGTACGTAAGCTGTATGGAAACAAAAATGTGCATATGAGACATACTGGCAAGAATATGTTAAATACAAAATTTCTACAACAAATAATTAAATGTTCCTCAATCATTTGATTTATTCTAATTGAACAGATTTGTTTTGACACGCACACAAGATTTGTTTTCTACGCTTGCTTATATCTATCAAATTTCAAGAACATCATATCTAGGCTGCCTAAAATCATTCACAGTAAGTAGAAGCACTGACTCGGTGATTTCTAGATCAAATGAAAACAGTCACTCTATAAAAAATATATTGTTATGAAAACTTAATTTAGAATCTGATTATCAACTCAGGTTCCCTATTTCATATGTCCAATGAACAGCAATAACATTATGTCCTCAATGGAAACTAAAAAGTGTTGGGGATTTTTTCAGATCTAGGTTAAAAACAAGACAAAATAAAACCCAGTATTTTTTCAGGAATGAAGTCAAAGGGGGAACAAGGAATTTGACACGAGGCACAAACACAAATCTGACATCCTGGGCTTGTTTTGCTTGGCCTAGTCAGCCTGTCAGTGGGGATCTTAAAGCTGTTCAAGCCTTCTAAAACAAAGGTTGCTTTGCTGGTTTGTTCCTCAAAGCTATCCTGAAACAAAAGGTTTAATTTTAAAGAGAACTGGGCTTTCAACAATGGGGACTTTTCAATGTTAGTGTCCTGCTAAGCATAGGTAGGGACATTGTGGGTGCAACTCATCATAAGTAACTTTATCTGATCAAAGTTGGCAATTAAGAAAACTGCTGAATGTTAAATATTATCCATGCTGGCCTAATTTGGATGCATGTGAAGACTTTCATGTGCTCTTCCCTTCAGTCTTTACCATTAGATTGCAATCACTATCACCTAGCATCTGCTGTCTCAAGTTGTCTTGTCTAAGCCAGTTCCAGAGGGCCATTAATTTTACCCTAAAACTTTATCAAATTCCCCTCTAGAGCTGTTGGCCTTACTTCATTACCTTTGAACATCTAAAAGACAAGGTTAGACTTGCCACCTCATTTTGTAGAGCTAAAAAAAGAATGCTCTGGTAACTGTTTTAGTCCAGACATTGAGTACAAAAGCAGAGTGTATGCACTAAGGTCATTCCAATAGACACACATTTTATTAGCTTTTTGAATACCTAGCAGGGGTGGAGAAAAAAAAATTTTCCAATATTTTTTTCATTTCCATTTATCCATTAATTTCATCTGTTGCTTTCAATATATTTGAAAATGAGAAGCAAATCTCCGGTTATTAAAATTATCATTTGTATATGGACAATTTCATCAAAATAAATTCTTAAGGTAACTATAATCACAAAACATTGGTTCAGATCCTCTTTTCATTGCATTTTCTACATTCCTCTAAGTAATAGTAGTTGCTTACATTTTCTCCTTATAGCAGCCAGCTCCTGCTCAATTCGTAGGCAGACAGACTGTGTAAGTTCAAATGATATTCTTTGAAAAGCATCAAAATCTTCCACTGTGTAAACATGGGTGTCCGCAGGAGGTGATGCGATAGCTTCCAACTCTGTGCGCACTGCATCCTTCACACCAACTGCAAATATTTCTACATCTGCATCCCTCAGCTTAATTGCAGGTTCTTTAAAAGCATCTGACGATTTTCCATCAGTGATAAGAATCATTACTCTTGGCACGTTTGGTCTTGATCCTTTGCTGGTAACAAACACTTTCTCCCTCACATATGTCATTGCTTTGCCTGTGTTGGTAGATCCACCTCTGTAGGGGAAGGTGTTAATAGCCTGAATTATGTCTTCCACTCTGTTGTATCTGTTCAAAGAAAACTCCATATGGGGATCTCTGCTGTATTGGACAAGACTTATCTGTACTTTTCGAGGTGATATCTCAAAGCTTTTAACTAACACTTCCAAAAAGGCTCTTACTTTTACAAAATTGGCGATACCAATGCTGTAGGAACCATCCACTAAAAACACAACATCAGCTTTTACATCCACACCACGTGAGCATTCTGCAAAGAAAAAGAATAACCACTGTAAATGTATTTTCAATAGCCACATAGCATTACAATGGTATCTGTAGTTTGTGTATTACACACACAACTGCTTATAAACAAAGTAAACTACACTAAGCAAAGGTATTTCTCAAAAATAATAAAGGTATGATATTAAAACAAGCATCAGAGGTTTCATCAACAAAGAGCTACAATTTGAAAATAAGGTGGCTCCAAACTTACCCACTTGAACTTTTACTTGTTGTGTTTTTTCCATTATCGTTATTGGCTCACTGGGGGTCAGTCCTTTCATTGCATAAACATTAATTTGGTACTCTGTGTCTGGAGAGAGATCTTTAACATTCAGAGCAGTTGTCTGAGGACCCACACTCAGTACATGTTGCTTTCCCCCAGCTATCATTGGAATGAACTGCAGACGATAGCCAGTTATTTGGCTTGTGGATGGATCCCAAGTGATTCTAATAGATTTTGAGGAGATCTGAGTTGCCACCAGATTTGAAGGAGGCTCCACCACTGAAAGAAATCAAATGCAAATGCAAAATATTAGTTACAATTATAAACATATGTTCTTAACAGTTTTTATTTCTAGAATAAGTTTAGTTATCTTTGCTTGATCCTTACTAAAATCACTTTTGGGGTTTTTTTTAGCATAAATAGACAGAAATTAATTACAGGACAGTCCAAATGAGACGTCAGTGAGAAGGCAAAAATATGAGCAATGCATTTGTGGTCCCTCATGTATAAGTTCCAGGAAAAGTGCTGCCCAGCTCTAAAATTGCTTCAACCAAAAGGGAAGGAATCACTCACAGGAACACGTTAGAAAGTGTGAACAAATGCAGACTTGAGCAGAATACTACAACAGCAGAGTCATCTCTACTGCCATTTTTGTCAAAGAATAATTAGTTATTAAAACTTTACAGGGCGAGAAAGCTGCAGTGATACAGCTTCATGTCTTTGCCTTCTCAGCTTTCTCCAGTTTTCATGCTTTGGTTCTCAATTTATTACATATTTTGACCCTTCACCAAGCAATTTTTTTTTCCTTTAACACATTTTTCCACAGAAGTGATGCCTGTGTCCAAACTGCACATCACTGTATTGCCTTTGAAACTATGGAATAATAGAGCTAATCCAAATCTGCTACATCACATGTTCTGTTATCCTACATTTAAAGGCACAAAACTGAAACCAGTCTTCCACACTTGCTAAGTGAGGTAAGGGATGAAACTCATTTCTAGAAATAAAGCAAAGGAAGTAGGGATAGCCTCCTCAATAGACATTGGGATAAACTGAAGCTACAAAGACTTTTTTATAAAGTATCTCACCTTCTTCCCCACTAACCAGTTCACCTAGTTGTTCATCAACACCGGAGCACACTTGCAAGATAATTTCATTCTGTATATCCACAATTCCATCAAAATTAGCCACATTGAACACATGCTTCAGTGATGGCTGAGATGCAATTAGCTTGAGTTCCTTTGCATCTGCTGCTTTGATACCTAGAAGTTGTAATAGACAGGGCTATGGTTAAGTAGCCATAAAATACAGACACCTTCAATGTACTTGTGAAGTATTAAAACATCCTGGTATAAAGCTGAGTTTAAATTAGTTCTGCCTTCCATCATGATCAACAATCAAGCTACAAAATAATGATTAATGAAATGAAGTGGCAGACTCAATTTTCCACCAGGGAAAATAACATGGTGTAAGGAAAGAATGAGGCCAAGGTTGAAACTATGCTAGTCAGTCATATTAATCTCAAGGTAGAAGTTACATAATTACCATCAAATTAACACAACTGGTGTGTTCCACTCTGGAGGGCACAAATGACCCATTTCAAGGTGCACACATGAAAAGAGGGTCATAATGAAATTCTTCAAACACACTGTCTGCAATACTTAAAAATTAACTTTTTATGAAAGTTAATCTCTCAATCATTAGAAAAACTCAACATACCCAAAGAAAAAACTTCAACTCCTATGTTGCGAAGCTCTCTTGCAGGAATTTCTACATCATCTTGAGCTTTTCCATCAGTAATGACAATGGCTACTTTGGGAAAGCCTTTTCTTGCTCCAGCAGACTCAGTGAAGGTGTTTTGAACAAGGTAATCAATAGCCTCACCTAAAACCAACATCACAAGTTGTGTCTTTTTAGACTTGTATGAACTAGTATTTAAAGCAAATTTGAACTATAAAATCAAATGCTGAATAAACATGTATGTGGGAAATATGTACCTGTCATTGTGTTGCCACCTTTGTAAGGTATCCTTTTAATTGCATCAATCAGATCACTTCTTCTGAAATATTGATTTAAATTGAACTCTGTTCTTGTATCTGAACTGTACTGAACAACTCCAACTCTTGTCTTTTCTTCCCCAATGTCAAAAGCTGATACAAGAGCAACCATGAAGTCCAGAATATATCCAAAGTTATTTCTTCCTACACTCCATGAACCATCTACCAGGAAAACTAAATCTGTCATTGCACTTATGGAGCATCCTGGAACACAACAGGGAAAAAAGGAAAACCAACTCTATTAGCAAATTAGCAATTGCATTCTTACAAATCAGTGAGAAATGTCGAATGAAACTTAGTAGGTAAAAGCCAAAGCAAACAGATATTTAAAAGATTGATCTTATCTGGGATACTTTGCTTGGGGAAACATTACTTACATAAGTGAACACCCATATGAGTTTTCTAACAGCCATTATCAAAATGGAGCTGCTTTGAGACGCCTTTCACGCTAATCCACAAGATCTGTTATGCCACAACAGATGAAAACACCCATACAAAACTTTTTGCAATGATTTGATGCTACAGAAAAATTTTATTTTGTTACCATTTGTGCCTCACATCTTTTTTTCCCCATTGTAGCTGCACAGGTTCTTCTGCAAAGCCTTTTATTCACAGCACAACACCTTTTGTTGATAGGACCAAGACACTCATGGACTTGCTCAGGTTAGTTGCATGAAATCCCTAGCTTCAGTACCAACTTTGTACCTTAATCTCTCAATGCAACTTGTCTTTCTGTCACAAGTCCCTTCACAAGTTTTCTCAACTCTGCACAACTTTACAAGTTTACTTCTTGGTAGGTAGCACAGAAGCACAGTTTAACTTTGCGAGCTAGACTTCAGATAAGATAAGTGTCAGATAAGTTGAAAAGCAAAGCACCTTACTTTGTAATTGAGCCTCAACCTTCTTTTCCTCTGGTATCCCTGGGCCGCCTGTCTGAACTACACAAAGCACAACATAGACAGAATAAATGGGGGAAACAGGGTTAAATTTTTAAACATCAAAGAAAAGCACATAAGGAATTAGAGACATGCATCTAACAAGCCTCAGAACACAAAAACATAAATGCAGATCCTGAATATACCACCTGTACTTCCAGATTTGACAACATAGTATTCAGCATGACACAAAATACCAAAATGTAAATATCTAAGAATCTTCTGTATTTGTACATCTTGTAGATGTACAAAATTCCTGAAAATTAGCTGCAACATGTCTGGAAGAAATACCAGTATTACCCGTCTCTAACACCTAGGAGAATTGATAATTTTCCCATGGCTCTTTGTGAAGCCTGAGACATGATACAAAATGTGTCATAGAAAAGAGTCTGCTATGCATTTTTATTTAATTAAATTTATTTTATGCTTTATAATTATTCATATAAATTATTAAAGCTTAAATTCCATATTTTAGTATGCATCTAGGTATATTGTGTCACATTTTATTATTATTTGATGAATATAATTTGCTTTCTCACACAGGATGCCAGTTCCATTCATTTGTTACTGAGGTCAATGATTTTCTTCCCCTTGAATTCAGCAGATGCAATTTATTGGAAGTAGATATAGCTCAAAAAACATAGTGGCCTCCTGCCAAGAATTCTATAGGGTTGGCAGACACTATATCCGTGTTAGTGTCCTTTGATCTCTTGCAAATTTTCTCTGCTTCTACTAGGACTAATGGTAAAAAGCTGTTCAGACAGTTTCATCAAAGGAGTGTTTAGGTATGTGGCAATTTTGTTGGAGAACTGGATCAAAGCCAAGTTTTGTGAATGACCGCTCAGTTTTCTTAATTTGCGTTTTAATTGTACTGCAGCTACTTACTTGTCAGCTGGCCAAAAACAGGCAGACTCTCCTCTCTGTTGTCATATGAAGCTATTGATACAATATACTCTACATCAGGTATAAGATCTGATATGACAGTTTGGGTAGTGCTAGGTGAAAGAGTAAATTCTTTAGTAGGTCCATCTGCAATAAATATATAAAACACTCAATGCAGACTTAAAATCCAGTAATATTGATAAGCTGATTGTAAAACAAAATGCAACAGGCAACAAACTATCTCAAATAACACAATAATAATTTTAGAATTATACACTCTCTGTTTTCATGAAGTATAAATATTGAAACATGAAACTTTAAGCTAATGTATTTTTTAATAGTGAAAAAAAAATGCTAAAGTGTTTAATAAATTCCAGGAAATTTGAAACTTGAAATGTGCATAAAAAATGTACTATCATCTAACAAATCATGTCCTGTTCTGATTCAATATCACTTTCACACTGATTATTTCTCAAAGTGAAATAGAATAATGGCTGTCTTACACAGCATAATACAATTCTTGAACTTTAAGGTGAAAGCATAGAAGAGGAGCAGAATGATGATTCTACCTTCTTTTGCCACTTACAAAGCAAAGGCATCCAAAACTTGTTACTTGCAGTCCCAAAATGGTAAACACTAAGGCAAGAATAGCTCTAACTTGGAAGAATAACTGTTTTTCCTGTATGCCCTTTGCTGCTACCCAGGCTTGATCACTAACTTACAAAACATTTTAATGGCTACTCTCATACCTAAGTTAGATATAGGCAAAAATAAACTCAATATTTCAAAGCTTGTAATCACATGAAAAAATTTGACAGAACTCACCATTTGTTGGAACCACAGTTATTCTGTAACCCACTATTGCATCCGGTGGCCTTTTCCATGACATTTGAACATTATGTTCATCTATAATTGTAAAATTCAAGTCTGATGGTGGGTTAACTGCAAAAGATTTATACCAGGTAGATGTTTAAAATCTTGAACAAGTTTTGGCAAATGAATAAATAAAACAATGTTGAGCAAAGCTTACTAAAATTGTCTTTGCATAAATTTGTTTCCAACAAATATAAAGATATATTGTTGGAAAAAGAGTAAAATAAAAGCTGACAAAATATGACAAAACATCAAAGAGTATATGCATTACAGAGGACAGCACAGAACATGTTTCTTGAGTTGCCAAGACATTCAAGAATGGCCAGCAAAATCAAGCACAATAGAAAACACATTTGGATACAAGTACAATGAGTTCACAGATAATCACCACAAATGCAAACATTTCACATAACAATTAAAGGAATTTTTTTTACATGCTGGGTGCAATCCGTACAAGCATGCCAAATCACAACCTGCTTACAATATCATGAGATCATTTAGGATGTGGAGAACACAGTACTCTTCTTAATTAGACATCAAAGAATTGATCAGTTTTTTTTATATAGTCTCTGCATATTGTATTTCTTATCAATTTCACTGAAACTAGAAACTTGGCAGAGAAAATAAACTATTTAAAGAATATAGGAAAAGACTGGGCATTTAATGTTCAGTAAAACAATTTCTGTTAGGGTCTAGATAGGAATATACATGCAAAATGTATATCAGCAATAATGATACACTGATGTATCATTATATTACAAAATATGGAGAACTCCACCCCTTTGTTCCTAGAAGCCACTAAAGTGACATACTTTGCATATAGCAACAAAGGATTTAGGAACGAAGGGAATAATAAATGGCATTAGTAGTGGTTGCAATTTGCCAAAATATTCAAGCTGATGTAAAGTTCTCAAAAATAAAATTCTACCTGTTTACACCAGATTTCCGTACAATTTCAAAGGTGTAAACTATGTTTTCATGTTCCCTTTGCAGCAGGTGTACCCATACTAATAGTGGCATTTTAACATAAAATGCCAGTATGGTTCCAAACAACACAATGGTTAATTATGAAGAGACAACATCAAAATGTATTTAAGGACATTTATTTTACAGAATTTATAGAAAATGGCAAAGAGGGCACCAGTGAACTGAACAAATGACTGCAAATAAAACTTATAGGAGCTGATGACAGAAGTAACTGAACAGTACAGAAAGAAATAGTTTATATATGCTAATTTGCAGCATCATGCATACATAAATGAAATGTTGATTATTGGTTTTTTAGCTTCCCACAGTGGACAAAGCCTCCATGTACAAGATTCATTACACAAAGACATTTAATAAATATTTTATAATGATATTCTCTTTTTAAAATTTTCATGCTTATTCATGCAGTATTTTACTGACTCACTGTCAGTGCATGGTAGGTGTATTATATATTATTGTTTAAATAGGTCTACAAAGTAAGATTAGATCTAGCCATACTTTCCTTAACTACTAGTGAGAGAGTTTTGCAGGCATTTTTAAAAGACAGATCTTCTGTTTCACAGAAGATCTCCATCATATGTCAGATTTCATATCAGATTTGAATATCATTTTAAAAGCAGATAAAGTAGTAAATGCTAGAATGTTTAATTATGAAAAGACACTGTCCAATTACAAAAAGTAAAACTGAGCTAAAAATATATGACATTTTTTCCTTTTAATTTTCTGTAATTTCCAACCATAGGATAATATGGCTTTATAATACTGATACAATAGATAACACTAGTACTGAAGTAAATGTTATTTTTCCTGTTGTCCATACACAGGCAGTGAGATTAGACCATTAACCTGCATGCACAGTTTATTCATCATTCAGTTTATGAGTATCACAATGCTAGAGATGGCAGGGTAGTTACTTAGTATCAAAATCATGCAACATGTGTTAATAGTAAAATACATTTAGATTATAAGAATATCATTATAAAATATTGTTTCAGTAGCAATGGCTCAGGACAAATTTAATGCAAAGGCAGAGACAACTGACCTGAGCATGCTTTTAAAAAAAATTCAGTACATGGAAAAAGTAGCACCACCAACCTTGCAAGTAAATTGGCATGTTGCAGCAGAGACTTTAGGCTTTAACTGCTGAAGGACAGCAGCAGCCCAGCTTGTTGATATCCAAATGACCGGATTCCAGATAAACTGAAAAAGCTGGCTGTGAGGAAAAGTCTTTAGCATTTTAAAGGATGTTTTTCCATTTTATGAAAATTCAGATGTGGGTCTTGGCAGGTAACAAGAATAGTACATTGACACATGAGTGATGTATCCATTCATCCAGGTGATCATAAACAATGGCACTGCAGGGGAACTTGAAAGCCCCCTTGTCCATCCCATGGTCAAGACAAGATTGGCCACCCTGTGTCACTCCTGACGTTTTCCTGAGATCATTCTTAAAGACCTTCACTATTGTCAAGACTGACAGCTTCCCACAGAAATTACACCAAGACCTCACTGCCTTTATCATCATATTTATTTCTGACACCTAATCCCCACCTTCATTGCTGTACTTTAAATCCATTCATTCTCAGCCTATGGCTGGCTTATCAAACTCAAGCACTGAATGCTTCTCCCATAGAAATCCAAAAAGGAATCTTTCTTGAGTAAAAAAAAAAAAAAAAAAAAAAAAAAAAAAAAAAAGCTGTTTGGATCCAATGTCATCAAAATGTCTTCCAGATGGCCTGTGAGCTTTTGATACTCAAATAGAATCTCCAAAACATCCATAGACCTTCACAGGGGTCAGATTTCACCCAAGTGAAACCAGCTGTGGGGTGAAGACCAAACCATGGTCATATGACAGAAAGTAGTAAGCTGATCTGAAGTACAGAAAAATGTTTAGATGATAAAAACCTTATTGTGATAATAAAACAGGGCAACTGTTACTCCATCTCATTAAAATTTTTCTCCAGAAAGGAATTCATCAGTGGAAAAATAATACATTTGCAATACTGAATCAAACCAGACTCTAGAAAAAAAATGCCCCTTGTTGTAGTAGGAGTTTGCCCCTTTACAGGGACAAACCTTAAAACTTCACTCAACAAAATCTTATGTGTGAGTGCAGCTTAACTCCAGCAAGAAGTCTTGATGTCAGGCTGCCTGCAGCAGTGAAGTTGCACGTATTCTTATTGTAGTGACACTGCTGATCCTGTGTCCATCAAAATCCATGCCAAACCTCTCACTGACTTGTCAAGGTACAGGATCATGATCACAACGTGTCATGGTGTTGTAGTATTGCCTACATACAGTGATCCAACTGTTGAAGCACAGAAATGCATGGCTCCCCTACAGGTTTCCAGAGTAGCAAAAACATAGCCTGCTGTACAACAATCATGTTTCCACAGCATTAATTTTGACCATCCTTAGAATTGTGTTATGATAATTTCCTCAACTGGATCTTCTATATTATGCATCACAAAAGAAAAACAAAAGAAAAAAATCATACATAATATACTTAAAACATTGCCAGTTTTTGTGTTATATACACATGTAATAAGGCTATAATTTCTGAAAAAAAAAAAAAAAAAACAAAAAGAGGGCAAAGCATCTTTCTCATGCTATGCAGGTCTTATATGTCTTATATTAGTTGGTATTACTTCACAAGAAATATAAAAATTTTACAGCTTTTTGCAGATAACACAATGTGACTGCTAGAGGATCCCAATGAATACCTTAACAAGACAGAAATAAAATGAAACTGGAATATCAAGTAATTTATATCTAGAAGCAGATTTAGAAGTGATATAAGTTGGAAGTAGCTGCCATCCACAATCCCTATGTGAAACATATTTTGTGATTCTATCACTGGAAAGGACACACTACAATTAGCATGTAAAATAATGTGTTAGCCCATGCTAACATATCATACAATCTACAGAAGCTGAAGAGTAAGCTCAGCCTTACCATCCCAGTGATAAGGCCTGCTGAGGCTGGAAGATGCCAGAACTCTTAATTTACTATTTTTTTCAGAAATGGCATGAATTTGGTACAACTAACTAGATCATGACCCCAGTTAAGCTCCTCTGAAGCCTGCATTGTCAAAGTGACTGGAATGACCTACAGCCTAGGAAGGTAGTAAAGAGCAGCTTCTAAAAAGAGCAGTTATTAGACTTGTTAGATATTCATTGCCAACCATAACACACATTGCCATCTGTATCTTTGCATTTTTAATTTTATATATGTTTATGAAACTTCTTCAAAATTGAAGATATACAGCTCATAAGTGTACTTTCAAAAATTCATATAAAACCATATACCTGTACAAATAAAGACATACATATCTCAACATAACCCATATACATATACACACATTGTATGTATGAATATTTACCAAATTTTACACCTGTGTGCATATATATGTATATGCATGTGTATATACACTTAGACATGCATGGATATTTTGTTTCTAATTAGCAGCAGGAAAAAGTATAGTCACCCTTAAGTATATAAAAATTCCAATGCCAATCTACATGGCTCTCTATTTAGGAACTTTGAAATCAACAGATTCTTTCTCAAAAGATATTGCTATCAAAAGGTAATAAAAAAATGGTTCTACCAACCAGTTTCAAAACTTCAAAAGTTTTAGCTATCCCAAATCACCTCTGAATCATTCAGTCAATGAAAATTAATGTACTCAATACAGCTTTATTACAAGCCAAAAATTCTAATCCTTTGCAACTGCTATGCTGCAATTATTTGTCACTTACTATACTGGGGTCCTGGTAACAGATTTTTCACCAGACAAACCTTTCTATGCACAACACAAAGGTTCCACACCTGGATCAGTGATGCCCTCCTTCCCTACCTCCAGCCTAGAAAACAGACTTTTCTAGGTCTCAACCAATTCCTGGAAAGCTGAAAAGTCAGCACCTTCAGAAGCTCAGTTAGGCTACACAAAACCAATTATTTCCTCATTTCTTTCCTGTGCCTTTGAAAATCCCTCTGTATTAAGAAACATGATATGCTACAGAAGCCATGACAACATCACAGCAGTAACTGAAGGTTATAATTAATAGATTCTTCACATGCCAATGTACTTAACTATGACTAGAATAAGAGCCCTTGGCTTTGTGATCACAGATGAATAAAATACTCTAACAGAAAGAAATTCTGACATGTGGACAGATATGGAATGCACTGGAATATTGCTGTTCTGGACTAAAAAGGCACAAAACAATTTTATGTTTAAACACCTTTATGTTTAAGTATAAAATATAGAATCATACACAAGGAGTTTAAGCTGGGAGATAGATATCAGAAGGATTGCAAAATAAAGCAAGAATTTCACTGTAAAAGAAAAGAGCAAAAATGCTGAGCATGAAAACAGATTTGCTTCCTTGACCACCGTAAACAAACAACTTCCCCAGTGAAAGGGCATGAATGCATTTAGACTATATGAGGGCTTTCCCTCCCTCTATTCCTACAGTGACTGCCCAACTGGAAGCTCCTGTTCTGCTGTACTTCTGTAGAAAAGCTCTACTGCCATTACTGCAGCTCATTTACTGCTCATTGCCAAGAGCAGCAGAGCACAGTCCTCACAAAGGACTTCAGAGCAGCTGTGATGCTGATGAAGAATCAGTTTCATACTTGAAAGTTCAGGAATCTGTGGACAGCAGCATCAGATAAACACCAGATCTGCTCCCAGGGGAGACTGAAAAATGAAAGCTGAAGGAGGGCAGAAAACAAAATTAAGCTTTTTCTTTCCTCTGCTCTCACCCCATCTTTTCACATCATATCAAGAATCTTCATCACATTAAATGGCCCTCTCCTTTATTCTGGTCTCACTTTTTCATCCCATCAAGTGTCTACCCACATCTTTGGGAAAGAAATTTTAAAATGCATGTCCTGTAAATGGTACATGGAGAGTCAAAAAGAAGCAAGAAAAGAGAAACAGGACTGACTGACTGACTGACTGACTGACTGATGGGAGAGGACAGCTTTGTCACAAAGTGATCTGAAATTTGGAAAAATAAGACCAATGGTCAAATGTTCACAGGAGAAAGTCAGTTCAGCAGACAGGATCTAAGTTGCAATGACACCAACATAAAGTAAACAAATAATTAAGGAAATAACTTGCAAAAGTAAATAAGATGCAGTTTACAAAATTATGCAAACTTGCAGCACAAAATTAAAACAGTACAGAAGAATGATCAGTATAGTGCAAACAAAAACCCCACTGTAAAAAACTCTACAAAAGCAGTTCCCACCACAGCAAGTTCTAAGGCACTCCTAGTTTTGAACTTTCATTTTCAGCACCACTATTTCTCACTCCATTCTCAGCACCACAATTTTTCACCCCACACTTCCCTGCTCTTACTTCAAAACTCTGGAGCTAGGAGAATTTTCTCATAGAAACATGATCACTGTAAATTCGGTATTTTATTTATCAAATATTTCTGAGTGCAAAGTAATGTAAGTTCTGTCCAAGAGCCCTCTACAACTCTCAAGATCCACTCTTTTGCTTGGCAATAGTGCATCCTACAACATCTAATCAAGGTCATCCAGCTATGTGTCAAGATTTGCTATTATAATTCTGCTGCTCCAAATATATTTCTGTAGATTGCTTTAACATAACTAAAGCTATGGCTGGTTTAGTCTACACTATAGCTAAATAAAACACCTTCGCTTACGTTCCAAAATAACATACTCCACATATGTAAATCATAGTGCAGGATAACAGCAATATTACTCCAGCTCTAAGTGAGCTCCCTTCTAAGATGGGGAAAAATGCACAAACACATCCACTCCCTTCCTCCATCAAAAATGTACACTTTCTCTGCTTTCTCTGGCACAGCAGTCCTGCATTTCAAACACTACTCTGAAATGACTTCAAATGACCTTTTTCGGTTCCTTTGCCAATAGCAACACAGCACGAGAGGAAGGCAATGGACTGATTCACTCCGAGGATGACCAGATGTTGCACTACTGGCAAAAATGCCATCTTTTTCCAGAAAGCCAGTGTATTTTACATCTGCATGCCCCAAGCAAGCACTATTACTACCGCTTAGGGGGCAAACACTGCAGAGGCATCTCTGACATCCCATGCTTTTAGAAGAGATCAGCCAAGGTGACCAGGTCCAGACAAGGGATCTTGTGGCAAGCCATGATCAGGGAATTTGTTTCAGCTCAAGACAGAAAGAAAAGGAAGGCAAAAAAATAGAATTATCAGTTGCTGGTTTCTGTTTTTTTTCCAGTAAATCCAGGGGTGTTCACACCTACAATGGAGTCGAGTCGCAGAGGTCAGATCAAGTCATTTCAGTGCAGGACGTTCAGCCTTTTTACTTCCCTGGAAGCCACTGCTGGCAGAAATGCCATGACTATGACCACAAAGCCAAGCAGCTCACACTGAGGGCACAGGACACAGCTGCTGTTAATCCACCGGGGAGCAAATGCCAGGCCAGGCCATGTTGAGCCGCGCTGTGGCAAGTGTGGCAGTGAAGATGGGTCTCCCCACATCTTCAGATGGAGGCAGGATGCTGCCAGGGGCCTCAGCCCCCAGAGACTGCGCTGAGGGCTGAGGAAGAGGAGGAGAAGGCAAAGGAAAGCCTTTTTGGAGGTGACAGTACCACATGCCTGCCAGAGCCTTGGAGCCCTGGCTGCTACAGCAAGGCCTGGCCCAGCCTTCCCTTCAGCAGCGCCCATGGCGCGTGTCACAGAGCTGCCAGCACCTCCCCAGGCGTGTTCCCCGGGTCAGACCCACCACAGAAGCTGAGGTGTCCCTGAGGGAGGGTCCGGCCACCCCGAGGCTCAGCCGGGGGTCGCCCCGCCGAGCAGGGGAGGCCGATGCACCGGCAGGCCGGTGGGGCAGGGGCGAGGCGTCCGGCTGGACAAAACACACAGGCGCAGAGAGCCAGACTGTTGGAGCATTTTATTACAAAGTTGCGGGTTGTTGAGTAGTAGGTTTTCCGTTTCCTCTCTCAACATTACTAAAAGAGGCCAGAGACCAGCCCTTCTTGGTCCATCCTGGGGGCAGAGCCATGTCCCCGGCCACGCCGGGCTGCCCGCCAGTGGCAAAGGGCTCCTCGGGGCACTGCGCCCGGGTGGCCACAGCAGCTGGCCCACGTCCTGTCTGTGGGGTGGTGTGGACAGCACACCAGAGGGACAGAGAGAGGGAGCTACGGTCCGGCTCATTAGCCGGGAGAAACAGAACACAGAAGGAGCTGGGCAAGGAAGGAGAGGCGTTTCTCTGAAGGAGAGAAAGAAAGAAGGTGAAGTATTCACACTCATAAACAGAGAGGGAGAGAGCCAGTAGCTCAAGGCTGATTGGGAGGTTTGCTGGTCAGCAGGGCACTGGGGCAAGAGGGCAGGGAGGAGAAGGTTACCTTCAGCCTCGATGGAGGAGAGGAGGGTGGCTGCACACAGAGCAGCGACTGCCGAGCACAGCGCTGTCTTCATTTCTGCCCTTTCAGATCACAACAACATGAATGAATCTGCAATGATGGGGAAGGGAGGAAGGGGGAGAAACGAGAAGGAAATGATACATGTGGATTAAAGGATTGCGTGGGTGTATTCATGAAACATAAAAAAGACAAACCGTGGATTTCACTTTGTTCCCTTATCCCCAGCCCCCACCCACGGGACCAGGTTGAAACCTCTAGACTTGAAAGCTGTCCAAGACGACAAAAGATTTGTATGACTAACTGGAGAGTCTCGTCTCGCAATAATGTGCCTTTTGTTGCTGAACCCTTTCCAATCACAGTAAGCACATGGAGCTTTAACCTAGTTAGGGTTAATTTGATCAGGGAAGAGCAGTGAAGATCTGTGCCTCCGCATAGGCAGGAGCCAGAAGGGAGCTCCATGACTTCATCGCTGAATGTGATGATAGCTAATTCAGAGGTCATTCCTGCTTTGGATCAACTAAATGTCTCTTTCAGCTGGGGATTTTAATCGGCTCCTTTTCATAACTGTTGAACCACTTAGTTAGCTTTGTTTTACTGGTCTCAAGGCAGTTTGGAAACTGTAATAAAACTTTTTTGAGGGGTTCTGCCTACAATTGCGCTATTCTTCATTTCTTGAAAGTCTGAAATAGGTTATACAGAAGTGTGTGTAACACACATCTGAAATTTGACACGTCTGTCTAGCCATGATGTTTCAACATCTGATAATTCATTTACATGTCCTGAGAGAAAATATATTTAAAATGGGCTATATAAAGCTGACAGGCATAAGAGTCTCACAACCACTGCAGGTTGTCTAGCAAAAGAAGTGGGATTAGGCCAAGTTAGTGGCTCTTAATTGCAAACAGCCATACCTTCATAACTATATGATCTAATTCATGTAAAATTATTGCCAATTACTCCAGAAAAACTTCCAAATTATTTCCTTGTCTAAGTAAAGCCTAATGTGAACCTACACATGCATATAAGTTTTTCTATAGTTTCAGATTTTCTATCTCAAGAAGTAGGAGAGAGGCAATTTGTATGAATAAAGTCATACATGCTTCATATATCATGATTAGGCTGCGGGAAAGAGAATTCCAAAAGCAATTAGGCAACAGATTTTATCAGGAATGTTCCAAGAGCAAAACAAAAGAAGAAAACCTATAAATCATTAGTCTGCAGAAACAACTGAAAGGGAAAAGAATATTCTTCTACCATCTAAAGAACTACCCGTCAAGGCACATTTGGTGGGAAGACGCTATGGAGATCCAGGAATTTCCCAGTTACTGACTCTGAGCTTAATAGGCTTCATTTGAGCAGCTGTATATACTTGCCTTAGCCAAATGCCTTAACTGCACACAAAAATACCAAAAGCTCACCAAAACTCTAAGCAAAGGTTTCAGTCTAATGGCAGCTCCAGCGGCTAAACAGAAGAGTAATACTGACCATAATGTCACTAACACAAGAAAGGCCAAGGTTAGTCTTCAAATGCTCTGAAAGCTTCAAAATCATATCACTGCTCTGCATGGGAAACGGCTGCCCCTGGGCAGATCTACAGCATCCTGCAGTGAGTTTAAGGATCGCCTAAATTCAACGCAAAAGGACATTTTGTCCTGATAATCTCATGCGAGCTTTGACTGCCATCTTTTGATCGTTTTGAAAAGCAACAGAAATTAATCATCTCACAAAGGCATCTAGGAATTCTCCACTGCTGGAGGTCTACCATTCCTGATACACGTTTTTATTTCATTAAATACACCACCTCATTTAAAGCATTCATTTGCTAACCTAAAAACTCTGTTTCCTTCTCGCGAATTTAGGTGTGTGAAAGAAACCCTAGAAGTGGCAGAAGACGCCTCCTGGCAGGGACACAGCAGACTTCGTGTCAGGATTAAGGTTTTCTCATTGATCTTTGGAGACCACTTAGAAAAAGTCAAACCCGAGCTTTCACAGTGCCAGTCCCATCTCAGGCTAATTCAACCTACAAAAGCTTAGCCAAAGCATTTCTAAACCACATAATTTAACACTTTCAAGAAGAAAAAACTAACGTAAACGAAAAAAGAAAAAAAAACGCAGGAAAAATCCACTACCTATCAAAGATATAAAAAACTGGAAGCAGGATAAAGCATCACCGGCAGCTGCACACACAAGGGAGGGAAGCGAGAGCTCCTGCCAAAGCCGCAGCGGTAGCGTGCCTGCAGGCGCCCTGGGCGCTGACAGCCGGCTCCGCCTGGAGCCTCCGGCCGCCCCGAGCCTCCGTCTCCGGGACACCACCGCCCCTGCCCGCCTTTCTGCCCAGCACCCGTCCGCCGGCAGCGCTTGGGGCCGGCATCCCTCCGTGCTTCCCCGTGCCTTTCCCGGGCTGACAGCCAGCAGCCCCGGGGCGCTCTGCCCTGAGCCTCTCCGCCCGCCCGGCCGCACGCCTGCAGCCGGCTCTGGCATGCCCAACGCGCGCACACACGCTCCTTCCTAATCCCGTGTCAGCTTCCAGCCCAAGGTGCACTGGAAGGGGCTGCGGGCGTGCTGCGTGCGGACAGAGCGAGACACGGGGGGCGGCGGCGGGCCGGGCAGGGGACCCCGCTCCTGCGCGGGCACACACAGACCTTCCGGGGTGGCCGCAGCGTGCCGGGGTCCGTGACGGGACAGCTCCTCCGGCGATGACTCCGGTGGTGCCCGCAGCGGCGGGAGCGCAGCCGTCGGACCTGGATAAAGGGAGGAGGTTAAAGGATGAAGCTCCGGGGGCACCTTGTGGAGGGAGCAGCAAGTAGCAGCAGCGGCGAATGAGGAGCAGCAGCCGCGGCAACAGTGAGCGCAGAGGAGGCGTCTCGATTACTGTAGCTCCCGATGCGAGGGGTCTGTCTGGGAAGACTTGCCTTCTCCAAGTGGGAAGAGCCTCTTCTCAATCTGCTACTTAATAGAGGGCTGTTCCCAACTCTCAATTTACCCTCGTAAGCGGTTACGAAACTTCAGGGAAGGTGGACTGCTGCCACCGGGTGATATATGCGCTGCTGTGCTCCAGCAAGGAAGGGGATCCACTTCTGGAAACTGGCGCATACCTCCGCGCATTCCTGCGGCATGAGACGGGAGCCGCGGCGGCAGCGCGCCCGGAGGCAGGGGCCCGGCCCGCCGCCCCCTCCCTCCCCTAGGCTTCCCAAACGGGGAGGACACGGGAGGGCAGTGGAAAAATTGAGTCTTCGGGCAGGCTTCGACGGACGGCGGCGCGGACGGTGTCCCCGGGAGGGGGGTTCCACGCCGCCCCCGCGGAGGACCCGAGGCTGGCCTGATCCCCGGCACAGCTTTGCAAAGGAGTGCGGGCACTCCCGGGAGCCTTGAGGGCAAAGGTGATAAAAATCATTGTGACACGGTTCAGGTGTGTCTAGCCTCAACGCTATGCAGCCATACATACATTAAACCTGCATTAAATACATACTCCCTCCGACAGCCCTCCGCCTGCGGCGGGGCGGGTATGGGTCCCCGGGCTGAGGGACGGGACGCACGGCCGCACCGACCCTCCCTCGGACCCCGCGGAAAATCCGCGCCCGTAACTCATGTCTGAAATTCCGTGCCTTCAGGAACTTCACCTTCCGAAATCTGATAATCGCTGGGCTCCGCGAGGGTCTCCCATTACTCTCTCTAGGGTGCCTCCCGGGTGACCCGACGTGTTCCGGCCTCTGCAGCACGCCGTGCCAAAGAGTGACACGGCGAAATAGCCGGGCCCTTCTCTGCCCGAGGGCCCAGACAGAGCATCCCAGGGGGCCCCGCACCCGTGGGGAACGGCATCCCCGGTAACGCTCGCGGTCCTCTGGGACCCCTTCGGGCTAAAATACGGGTTGTCAACGTCCTCTCGGAGCGGGTGCGCAAACTCGGGACGCGGAACAGAGATAGCGAGGAGCAGGGGTAAACAGGGAGGGGGAAAGCTGCGGGTTTCTCCCAGCCGCAGCTCCGCTCGTTCCGGAGCCCCAGCGCCGCACCGGGGCCATCCGTGGTGCCGGAGCGCCCCCCGGTGGCGGCACCGGGCAGGAGCGGCCACCGACATACGGACCGTCTGTCTTGTCCGTCTGCCTGTCCGCCTGCCGAGGCTGCCGCTGGGCCCCCGGGGCCACCACTGTGGGGACGAGATGGAAAACAGGCACAGGAAAGGCGGCGAGAGGGAGAGATGGGGTCACGCCTCCGCGCCGAGCTTGGGACCCTGGCTCGGAGCGGCCGGGGAGGTTCCGGGGCCGCGCAGGATCCCTTTCGGCTCCGTGCACGACGTGACCGGCCGAATCACCGCGGGGGCTCCAGGCGGCTGGAAGTGACCGATAGTGGAGATGAATATTTTATCAGTGGACCGCTCCTGGGCACTTTTCCGCAGGACTGGGAGATCAAGGACCTGTCGGCAGGAGGACTTGCCTCTCCTGAGCTTCATTCTGCAACGGACCTGTCATCTACACAGCAACCCAAATGCTGAAAAGAAAGTGATAACCAGAAGACATGTGCTGACATTTCCAGACACTTTGGAAGCGAGTCAGCTCCTCTTTAGGACACGGCACAGTTTCAGCTGTCTGGTATTGATAGAATGCACTTTCCAAAAGCAACATCTCCTCCACTGATAAAACTCTTGACCTATTAAACCCCCTTGCCCCGGTGTTGAGTTGAATTTTCTCTTTTGGCATCATTTTGGCATGGGTAACTGGATTTCTTCCTATGTAGCTCTAATATGGAAAAGCAATATTTCTAAGAAATAATACATTTTAAAAATTTTAGTCCCCTGAATGAACACGCCAAGAATATGAGTATAAATGTGGCGTGAAAAATAGTTTCTTGAGAATGGACATCAGGGATTACAATGAAATATCCTTCCACAGAAAGTGAATTAATGCAAATGAGGTCTTTTTATCACTTGTGCACTACAACGGTATTTTTTTACAATATACTGTGGATTTTTTTCATCATAGGATAACGAAGATTTTATGTTAATAGTTAAAAACAATTAGTGCAAAAATGAAGCTGGAATAAAATATGCATTGTTCTGTTTTAAAGTTAAATCACTCAGAAATATTGTTTAAATAATTTGGTGTGTTGCTACAGGTGGATTTATATTAGTGGAGACTTTGAAAGCAAGGGGTCTCTCAGGTCAGCAAGAATATCATATGCTCTCCCTCACAGGCCTAGATGCTGCTGAGGGGAGTATCTCCCCTTCCTCTCAGCTGACCAGTATTGCTTAATTTCTTTGTGTGAAATAAGATTCAGAGCTGGCAAGAGCAAACAATTAATTAACTCCAAGGGCAGCAGGATTTTGTTCTTATCCTTAACTCCTTATTCGAACTCTTCTAACCATGATTCTCCTAAGATCATTTACGTGCAAATTACACCAACAAATTGCATTTAGAGTGTGTGCTTCCATATATCACAGTAATTAAATGGGTTGTTTTCAATCAGCACTGTTGCTATGTACATTCATAGTCTGAGTACATAGTATGTGATGCAGAAGGCATTTCTGAAATGCATAAACATTTACTAACACTCTCCTGTCTGCTTGTTTCTTAGACAAGTGTTAAACACATTAAGACCATTGCACTTCAACTCCACAATTTTCTTTGCTGTCTAATCTGAACACACTGAAACAGTAGCAGATTTAAATACAAAAATCAAAATTTAAATTCATATGTATACTTTTAATAATATTGTCCATTTCTGGTGTAGGTTTGTAATAGTAATATTGCAGGTAACCAGGAATTTCTTAGAAATTTTGAAATGGTTTCAGATGTAGAGTAATTCAGGAAACTTTGTCTTTCTGACGCCTCTTTTTTTTTTTTTGTTACCTTAAACTGCATTGCCAGGGCAGAATAAAACAGTATATTCTGCATTTCAGCACTGTTAACCTTGAATATCATTTCCATGTGGCTATCACACTAGATTTGGCCTCTGTATTGTCCTGACAGTTAGTTGCATCTGCTTTACATATGAATATGGTAAATGTGTTATTCATATGTATATATGTATTTAAGTATATGTTTTGCACAGAGGAAGAATAAAAAAAAAGTGTCAGCTCTTTGAACATCAAACAATATAAAGATTAAGCATTAAGTGTTTTTATACAAGCAAAAGTGTGCTGCTGCCCATGACTTGCAGTCAGTACAGTACATCTGCCCAGGAAGTACTTTGCTGGTCAGTCTATCACTGCATCTATCACTACAGTGCATCTAAATTAAACACTGTCTTAGTACAGTCATTTAAGAGGCCCGTTTATTCCTCACTGCACAACGGACAGCCTTTCCAGTATATTTTGTATTCCCTATGAAATCAGTCATAGAAACAATATTGCACAGGATTATATCTGCACTCATAAAATGCAGAAGGACAAAACACATTAAACTTCTTCCACCAGGCTCTTCCTTATATGAGAGATTTCCAGTCAATGGCAGGAGAAAAACTCAGTCTGGTGTTGGTTTGGATAAGTTCATTTCAGAGCTGGAATTCAGAGAGCAGAACTAGTCTGACCTTTCATAATGAGGATTGGCTTCTTATATTAGCAGTGTTCAGAGAGGATTTGTTCTATCTGAAATCTGCTCATTCAATGGAACAACTACAGAAGCAGCATCCCTGGAAAGTGTGACAGCCACGAAATAATTGTCTGCCTTACCAGGTATGTTTTCCATAGCAACTATTTATTTCTCTAATTTGTGTAATTGTTTTTTCCCATCATGTAATGTTCTGAAAGTTAATTATTGTGGCTCCAGATAAGTAGAACTGGAAAAGCAAATAAATCTTTCAAAAGCAGAGTTATAAATAGAAAGAAACTGGTATTTAGTGGAGTTTGGGAGTCTGAGAAAGTCCAGATAATTTGTAGGCAGTAATTTTTTTTAAAAAGATAGGTCTTTAATACTAAAATTGGAAAAAATAGATGCAATGATCTTATAGTCCCACATATATACACAAACACACTTTATATTGTAACATTTCTAAATAAAGTTGCTTTCTTTCAAAGAAGCTGGTTCATTAGTTCATGACAGAGTCCTGATCTATTCAGGAAGCATTCCTCTATAAAACCAGTACAAAATCTTGCTTGATTAAAGAGGACAAGAAAATAAATTGAGAACAGTGACTGTATTTTTTTAGGTATCACTATATGTTTTAATGTAATTGTTCCTGTCACAGCAATGGACTGGCCACAAAGAATTGTGAGTGCAGATCTAAACATTTGTCTTCATGTAGCTGAGGGTTTCTTGATGAAACAATGATGATTCACTGAGAAAATCCATAACTTTGAAAAATTAAAATATTTTTAGAAATCACTAGCTGCTACTGGCAGAACATTATAGTACAGTGCTCACTGAGTACCTAACTGGATTCAACATCTGCTGAAGGGTTAATAGCCATGGGCTTCCATATATTTGGCAGGACTTCAACTATTGCGAAGTAATTTCTTCCTATGAAGAAGCTCTCGATATTAATCGGCAACAAATGCTGAAATGGCACAGTGCCAAGCTCTGAATAGGAACATTTTCCTAATTCTTCTTAGTACTTCTATATATTAAAAAAATCAGAATCTATTGGGACAGCAGGGTCTGTGTAGGTGGTAGGTAGTCTTACAGAGAAGATAAGCTTGTGTCTGAATGTAAAGTATTCAAAGCTGCTGAAAGTTCAGATTGCATTAGCTAATCAGTGACCTGATCCTTTCGTTGCAGACAGTGGAATAATTAATGATGGAGGCAATTTTAAGATTCAATATCTTGTCATTAGGCTGACTGCTGATGCTGGCCTTCTCTTCCCCACAGACACAAATGGCACTGAGGATGTGGTGATTCCTCTGACTGAAGAGCAGGTTGGAGGAAAGCTGTCCAGGGGGAATAATGAGCTGCTGCTTCACTCTATCCCAATACAT